CTCCATCCCTCCCAAATCTGCCACATCAGCTGCAGCCAGCTGGGAATTCTCAGGGAATTCTCTCTCCTTGCTGTTTTGGCCAGAAACTACACCCCTGCTTCCTTCTGCTCCCCACACCTGGGATGACCATACTGGGATGTGAGCAAAGCAGAGTATTCCATGCTGCAGGTGTGGGATGTCACCACCAAAAGATGGGAAAAGCAGCTGCTCTCCCTCACTGCAGCTCTCTGCAGTCTCCAGTCTGAGCTGTTCCATGGCTTGGTTTTGCAGGTATCTCACTCGCATTTTTCCCAGCATCCCTGATTTAATGTGGAGGCTGAAGAAGCCAAGATTCTTCCCCCTGTTCATTATCACAAACATTTTTATCAAGTCTAGAATGAACTCTGCAGCTGCCACCAGAGCTCCACATGGCTGGGGACAGAAACCACATCAAGGCCTTAATGTGACCACATAAGCAGCATTAAATTATGTAAATTACCAGGGCAGACAGCAGGTATTTGAATTTATGGAAGAGATATCCCAAAACATGCTGCTTTTAGGGACCAGTCTGCAGCACTGGAGAGCCTGGTGCCTTTCTTCTCCCTTCTGAGGACTGGCTCTACCTCTCCCCTGCCTTTGTGGCTATTGTCTCCTGGCCAGCTCCTTATCTTTGGATCCTGCACAGAGGTAGCCTGGTTGCCAGGGCAATGAATGACCCGCAGGCCTCTTTCATCAATGTCCTTCCCCATTAGCAAGTCTTTCTCCCCAGAAACTGGGTCATTACAAGTCAGCAGAGAGGCTCCTGCTCAGATATCTATCACAGCTACACACTCGAGCACTTTTATTTTCCCCAAGAACAATCAAAGCAGAGAGACCCGAGTTCCACTTTAGATGCTGTGTCATGGAAAAAAGACATCCCTTCCTACGTGAGCACTTCCAGGTAGAGACCAAGGCTGCAGCAGCTCAAATTTAATCTTTTTCTGCTTGAGCAGCTCAGTAGTTTAAAGTTTATAATGGGCTGATTCTCCTGAGTCTGAAGTGCATCCAAAGCAGGTTCCAGAAAACAGCCTCTTTTCCTGTTAGTCTTGATCCATAATGAGGTGGTAGAGCCAGTAACCCGGGAATTCAGCTCCAACCCACCTGCACAGTTTGGCTGCCAGTGATTGCATCCTAGCTTCCAAAAGAAATTTCCTTCTAATCCACAGGACGAGGTTGTTCACCTGGGCACTGACAGGAAGCAGGGTGGCAGCAAAGGAACTTTCAGAAGGGACAGACCAACAGCACGGGCACTTCTGTGTCCCAGTTCAGGGCTGCTCATCACCCTGAGAAGGGATTTCCCAATCTGAGCTTCCCACACAGAGCAGGTTACTGCATTTAAACACCTTCACCTACTTTCCTTCTTTCACAAACTCCTTTTACAGCTAATTTATTTCCTTTCTAGGACACCACCACCACGATTTTTTTTTTTTTTTGAGTACTCATTCCTTCTACTTGTTTCAGGTACATTCTTACTACTGTGAAGGAAAACACCTAAAAAGTCCTGAAGGCAACTCCTTTTTGCAGTGCAAAGGGACAGAGTTCTGGTGCTCTTACCTGCACCTCCTGCAAGTTTCTGTAGCACTGGGGGCCATGTTGCAAAGGCAGGGAGAAGGTCTGGGTAGACCCACAGAGTGTACACTGTCCCAAAAGAGAAGTAAATTAAAAAATGCATCATTAAGAACATTTCTAGATGCTGATTCTTTTCATCTTTAAGAATAAACTCTCATTGGATAATCAAGGAGATTAAACTTAATTAGATAATAAAACACTTAATTGGATAATAAAGAAATGTGACATCAAAGCAATGCCACAATAATTAATTGGGAAGGTAAGCAAAGAGGGAGGATTATTCCACTCCCTTTCCCTTACCTGTTGGATACAGGATTTTCTCAGCTTCAAACAGTATTGGGTTCCTGTGGTTCATGTAAACAGTGATGGCCTCCCCTTTGTGAGAGTATATTTTGATGACATTGAGCTCTTCCTTGTTTGGAACCAACTCAGCCAGTTGTTCAGTGCTCAGGGTGGGAAAAGCTGCTGCCACGTCACTTCGTAGCTTCCTCCTGCAATGACAAAATCCCAAATGGGTAACAAAGCTGTCTAGGCCATCCCTCAAATTAATTCCTACATCTGCTATTCTGTTTTGCCAGCTGTTCCTGAGATTCCCACCTTTTCACAGGAGATAATTTGAAGTATTTGTGTATGGGTTTACAAATTATGTAAGAATATCACAAAAAGGCCAAATATACTTTCCCTGCTCCTATCTGCTCTAAACATCTGCTTTCAGCTTCTGTTTGCTGCCTGTGCCTCTGTTTTGTGCTGTGATTTCAACCTGGGAGTGCCACACTTGCTCTGCCCAGCCTGTCATCCACAGCTGGAGCAGGGGACAGCCAGATTTCCCTGTCCCCCAGTTTTAATTGAAATTTAAACCCCAGTGACCAGCACAGGGGGGTTGGTGGTTATTCACAGCACTGTCCAGTGAACCTGAACAATCAGGAGGTCAGCCCAGCACTGCTGCTCAGGAACATAAAGAATTAGAGAATTGCAGATGGTTTGGGTTAAAAGAGACTTTAAATTCGATCCAGTGCCACCCCTGCCATGGGCGGGGCCCCTTCCCCTTTTCCCGGCTGCTCCCAGCCCTGTCCAGCCTGGCCTTGGACCCTCCCAGGGATCCAGGGGCAGCCACAGCTGCTCTGGGCACCCTGTGCCAGCACCTCCCCACCCTCACCGGGAACAATTTCTTCCTAATACCAAATATAAACCTACGCTCCTGCAGTTTAAACCCATTTCCCCTAGTCCTGTCACTCCACGTCCTTATCCTAAACCCCTGTTCAGCTCCCTTACAGCCCCTTTAGACACTGAACGCTGCTATAAATAAGCACAGAAGGCTTCATCCAGGCCTCGGCATAACATTTCAATGAACCTTGGCTTGATCACGGCAGCACCTTCCAGCGAAACGCACACTCCGTGCTCGGGAGCGCATCACAAGCTGGGGGTGAAAGCAGCTGCTGAGGGGGCACCGCCGGCCGCCGCCGCGGCCCCGGGGCCGAGCCCCGCGCGTCCCCCCGGCCCGGCGGGGCTCCCGGCGGGGCTCCCCGCGGGTCCCGGCGCGGCACTCACCGGTCCGAGCCCTTGATGCCTGAGTTGGCCCTCACGCGGAACGCCCTGGCGAACATGGCGGGCCCGCGTCGTCCCTCAGCCCGCCGCGGCCGCCATGGCGCCGTCCGCGCCCGTAACCCGTCCGGCTGGAAACGGCGCCCGGCCGCGCCGAGCCGCCGCGACCCCCGCCCCGCCGCCCGCAGCGCTCCCGGGCCCCTCGCCCGCGCTGGGGACCCCCGCCCCAGCTCCCTCAGGGGCACCGGTCCCCCTGCCCGGGCTCCTTGTGCGGGTCTCGGTCTCCCCTGCCCCGGTTCCTTGAGGGGGGTCCCTGCCCCTCAATGCTGGCTTCCTGAGGGGTCCCGGTCTCCCCTGCCCCGGTTCCTTGAGGGGATCTCTGTCCCCCTTGCCTGTGTTGGAGATCCCCGCCCGAGCTCCTTGAGGGGGTCTCCATCATCCTGCCCCAGCTCCTTGGGGGGTCCTGGTCCCCCACCCCAGTTCCTTGTGGGGGTCCTGGTCTCCCTGCCCCGACTCCTTGAGGGAGTCCCGGTCCCCCTTGCCCGAGTTGCAGACCCCTGCCCCAGCACTTTGAGGGGATCTCGGTCTCCCCACCCCAGCTCCTTGAGGAGGTCCTGGTCCCCCACCCCAGCTTCTTGTGGGGGTCTCGGTCTCCCCTGCCCTGGTTCCTTGAGGGGGGTCCCTGCCCCTCAATGCTGGCTTCCTGAGGGGTCCTGGTCTCCCCTGCCCTGACTCCTTGAGGGGGTCCCTGTCCCCCTTGCCTGCGTTGGAGACCCCCGCTCCAGCTCTTTGAGGGGATCTCAGTCCCCCCACCCCAGCTCCTTGAGGAGGTCTCCATCTCCCCACCCTAACTCCTTGAGAGGGTCCTGGTCCCCTGCCCCAGCTCTTTGTGGGGGTCTCAGTCTCCCCACGCCAGCTCCTTGAGGGGATCTTAGTCTCCCCAGCCCTGGCTCCTTGAGGGGGTCCCTGCCGCACAGTGCTATCTCCCTGCCCCATCTCACTCCTTGAGGGCGTCTCGGTCACCCCTGCCCCAACTCCTTGAGGCAGTCTCCATCTCCCCACCCCAGCTCCTTGGAGGGGTCTCGGTCTCCCCTGCCCTGACTCCTTGAGGGGGTCCCTGTCCCCCTTGCCTGCATTGGAGACCCCTGCCCCAGCTCCTTGAGGGGGTCTCGGTCTCCCCTGCCCCAGTTCCTTGAGAGGGTCCCAGTCTCCCAAATGCCGGGTTCCTGAGGGAGTTTTGGGCTCCCCGCCAGGCTCTGGGGTCCTCCCATGGCACCCCTGGGCTCCTTCACACGAGGGGTTCTCAGAAATGTGGGGTTTCTTTTCTGCTTAAACTTCTCAGCTGTTTTTTGGTTAACGTGCCCTGGCAGCTGGGCATTATTGCTGAGATTTGTACATTTGCTTGAGTGTTCCTGATCGATTTCTAGCTGGAGATTGAGCAGTGTGGAATTGGTAGGTGTATTACAGGAGTACTGTAGTAATTGCAGCCTTCCCAGGATCACAGTTATGGAGATTAAAAAATCCCTCCAGGATCATCATGTCCAATCTGTGTCCGATCCCCACCCTGAGCACACAGTGCCACCTCCAGGGATGGGCACTCCAAACCCCCCTGGCAGCCCCTTCCAACCCTTCCCATGAGGAAATTCCTGCTGCTGTCCAACCTGAGCCTCCCCAGCACAGCCTGAGGCCGTTCCCTCTCCTCCTGTCCCTGTTCCCTGGGATGAGATCCCAAATCCCCCCGGCTGTCCCCTCCTGTCAGAGAGTTGTGCAGAGCATGAAGATCACAGACACCACTTTTTTTAAATATATTTTTATTTATTTTTTATATTTTATTTATTTTTATTTATCAGCAGTTTGTGGAAATAAATGTACCTCCTACATCTCATTAGAGAGCTCTCATGTTCCAAAACACCACCGATGCCTCCAGCTCTGTAACTCCCTCTGTACCAGGTGAAATCCATGGCTGCTCGTGGGGAGCCGAACGTTATCCTGGACTTTTTACACCGAATCAATTCCTGCAGAGCGGCTGGCAGGGTCGGGCAGCCTGTGCTGTCCCAGAGCCTCCCTCATGCAGCACTCAGCGTTTTGCCTCCATCCATCTCTCCGCAACCACGTTACTGCTCAGCGCTCCTTCCACAGCTCGGTGTGAGGAGCCTCCTTTCCTCCATGCCGAGCACTCGGCGGTGTGCGGGGGCCCGCGGGGCGGGTTCGGCTCAGGGGAGAA